TTATAGATATTTATTGTCTTGCATATTTAATTTATTCTCGCGCCAGTGCATTAAAGGTTCAATAATAGAAAAAAGGAGAAACAAAAGTCTGAGAAATAAATTATTATTAAGTAAAATGTCAGAAAACAAATAGCTCCAGAGAGAATTTATTTCTCTTAATTTATGTTTAAATAAATTAATAATAAATTCATTAATTAATAAAAAATGAATAATAAATAAAAAATAAATATTAAATACTAAATATAAAATAAAATGAATAATCATAAATAAATAAATAAAAATGCAAAAATTAATTATTATTATCGTTATTTAAAAAAATAAAAATTTGTTTTAAAGAAATTCTATTTAAATTCCTTTTATAAAAGAAGAAAAATTTCTTTTATTAATTTTTTATTTTTGTTTTCGCCATACTGCTAAATTGAAATTAATTCCTTAATATCGATAATTTTTTACTCACATAGCGATAGTGTTAGAGCGATAAAAGACGTCAACTTTAATATATTTATGTGTCGGCTGGCATAAAGATGCTCCCGCTTGACTCTTTTTATCGCTAATGAACCTTCATCGTGAGTTCATCGACATCGATATCAAATTTATGCAACTTTAACATAAATCATTTTTAAAAAACCGGAAGTAATATAATTCTTCATGACCAAAAAAAAATCTTATATCAATGAAGAAAATATAACCCTGCAAATTTTAGGTCAAACGGTAAATAGAATTTTCGTAATAGAGAAGAATTTATAGTCAAAAGTCACAGGTCAAGATAAACAAAACGAAATTGAAAACATAGATTAATCAATCTACTCTATTTTTGAGGTTATGTTCATAATTTTTAAATTTATTTATTATTCATTATTATTTTTATTTATTATTATTTTTCTTTACTCTGTTCAAGATGCGAACAAGAGGCATGTGAGAGAAAAGGACACAAATATATCTCTATCCTTTTCTAACTCATCCTTGACTTTTGCGAGTCTATTGTGCGTTGACCTTTAAATTCTCAAAAGTTTGTGGTACTTCTACACCGGTGTCGACAGAAAAAAAATGTCGAAATCGCGCTTAAACTCAGTTATAATAGTGTTTCTACAATAGCCCTAAAAGATAATAATTTTTAAGTGTGAAATTCACAATTCAATTGACGAACATAACCTCAAAATTTACAGGCCAATTGACTGTAAAATCTAAAAATTTGTTGTCAATTGTAAATAAGAAACATAAGTTACTGTTTTATACCTCTTAAAAACCTTTGAAAGTTCATTTCTATATAGTTTTATTATTTTTAAATCGAAAAATATAAGGTTATCTAGAGATGGTTGAAACTTTATTTCAAGGTAAATTTTTATCAGCAAGAAAACTTTTCAATGGAACAAATTTCTTTCTCTGATGAGGTGATACTTTTAAAGTTTCTTTTGTTGAAATTGCTTTTTTTTCTTATGTTATCAAGAACAGTTTATTCTCTCTTGATTCTAAATTGTATATTTATTGTCACAATTACTCTTTTATCGTTTTCTCGAAAATCAAGATGGCGTCCAATTCCGGACATTTCATTTTCCTTAACAAAAAAGCTTTACACTTTTTGGACGCAAAAAGAGTATTAAAAATAAAATAAAAATTGGAGTTTTTGTAAATAATAAAAGTTTATTTTAATGATTAGATTTAATTTATTTCTATATTAAAATAATAAATATTTTATTTTTTTATATTGAAATAAATAGAATTGACAATATTAATCAACCCGAGATAAGAAACTTGAAAAGTATTATTTTTATTTGAAAAAATAAGTAAATTAAAGTTGGGGGCCTAGACAGAATAATTTTTACATGAGAGAGAAAAAGACAGAAGTATCTCTTTTCTTTTTCTGGAAAAAGACAAACAGTATCTCTATCCTTTACTCTCTCGTGTAAATATTAAAATATCCGATTTAGAATTTTTATTCTCCTTACAGGTCTCTTTTAAAAAAAAATAGAACATGTCATTCTAATGGTGCGATGTATGTCCGATAAAATTTTCGTTTAAGAATTCAGACGTTGATTTTCAGCTTTAGAGAAAGAGAGGTTGAAATTGATGTTGTTCTAAAGTAAAAGAGGTTGAGTTTAAATTTCCATTATGAAGCGGTTTTGAAACAAGTGTGCTTTAGGAAATACACGGAGGGTGATTTTGCTCTCTATATCCCCTGTGCTCTCTCTTTCTCTATATAGAGAGGGAGAGGATAAAATCAGCATAAACGCATTCGAGGGGAACAGTGTCAGACGAATAGACTCCGGTTAGAACCACCTACTTGTGCTCAATTACGCGATGAAGTGAAACAACCATATCCCTCTTCTTATCCAAAGGGGAAGATCATTAAAGTTCATCCTTTAATATTAAGTTATACTCGTAATATATTTTGTCACATATATAACTATTTGTATGTCGAAAAAAATAATTTCACTTTTTATAAAAAAAAAATAATGTTTCGTTTTTCTTTATATTATTAAATATATAATTTTTTTTATTTCATTCTTAAAACAAATGAAAAAAAAACATTTTCTTAAAACATTAGATATGACACGACTTTTCAATATTCCGTCCGACCGGTAGGACCGCATTTATGCAATTGATTGTAGTTTTCGTAAATTCTGTCAAAGCAAGGTTGGGTAGTTGATAACAAAAAGTTACTACCCAAGCTTGCTAGATAACATTTGTAACTTTTTTTACCAACTACCCAACCTTGCTTTGACAAAATTTACAAAAACTACACCCAAATGCATGTATTCTTTCCTACCGGTCTAAAGGAATTTTGAAAAGTCGTGTCGTTTCTGTCTAAATTCTTTTAGTTCATGACATACGAATATACAATCCTTACGCCACGAACTAAAAATTATAGAAATGACCCGACTTTTCAAAATTCCGTGAGACCAGTAGGAAAGCATACATGCATTTGGGTGTAGTTCTCGTAAATTGTGTCCAAGCAAGGTTGGGTAGCTAATAAAAAAAAGTTACAAATTTCATCTAGCAAGGTTGGGAAGTTAAAAATTAAACATTTGAGAAATTACGCATTTGGGACGTTACACATTATGAAATAATGGCAACTTTACAATTTGCAGTGTCGCGACGAAGAATTTAAGTTGTACAGGTAACTGCAGGTTTGCACACCATTTTGAAAACGATGTCATTTCTATTATAATCTTTAGTTCGTGACTAAAATAATAAATAAATTTTTCCACGAACTAATAAAATAATTGTAGAAATGCCACAATTTTCAAAAATTTATGCAAACCGGAGGGACAGCATATAAGCAGTTGCATGTACTATTAAGGGTACAATAAAGGCCAATTCACAATACCTTTACGAAAGTTGTTCGCAAACGTGAAGCATGAGTTAGAAAAGGACTGACATATATTTCTGTCCTTTTCTATCTCCTGGATTCATTCTTACCTGGCTGTAAAGGTACTTTTACAATAGCTCGCAAATGCAAATTCAGCATTAATTCTTCAAAATTCAAAATGGCGGATCCAATATGGCGTTTTTTAAAAAAATCTCTCGGATTTACTCGAAAATTGTTACTTGGGGGTTTTCGGGGGCGCTGATTACGAATTCGACCTTAGTTTCTCAAAATCCAAAATGGCGGATCCAATATGGCGACTTTTTAAAAAAAAATCACTCGGATTTGCTCGAAACATGTTACTCGGGGGTTTTCGGGGGCGCTGATTACGAATTCGACCTTAGTTTCTCAAAATCCAAAATGGCGGATCCAATATGGCGCTTTATTTTCAAAAATCGCTTGGATTCGATCGCAGCTTCCTTCTCAGGGGTTTTCGAGGTCGCTGATTACGAATTCGGCGTCAGATTTTAAAAATTCAAAATAGTATCTCGAATACGACGGTAATATTTGTCATTTTATATATAATTATATATAAAAACAAATTAATTTTACTTCTTTTGTAATTCTTATACCAATTTTACTATTTTGAATATATTTTGATCAAATTTTCGTCATTTTGACATTTGGATGAGGTTTCTGGGAAAATTTTCGTCGATGGTAAACTGTAACGATCGAAGTATGTATACATATATATATAACGGACAGGAAGGTTGAAGATAGTAAAGAGAGATAGTATGAGATAGTATGTGGGAAGGAGGGCGAAACCTTAAGTATTATACGAGAGATGCGAGAACTTTACTCGAAGCAAGCCACATAATGCGATCACATCAATAATGATGTATAGTTGAAACCACATTCATAATGAATATATAAACTTTATAAAATGTACACGTAAAATAATATAATTTATTTCCATTCATTTCGCGATGAATATATTTGTCTCTATATTGTCCCACATACACCAATTTTTTTTTTCTTTTTCCATTAAATTTATTATTTTTGGGCAAAAAAAGCAGAGAATGAACCTAATGGATTTCAAAGGACAAATTATTATTTATCATTTTTTATTAAAAATTTTTTTTTTCTCTCCTTTTTCACCTTGATGATAAATTAACATTTGTAAATTTATATACATATAGGTATATATGAAAATGTGTTAAAACTTGCTTGACACGTTCAATTCTCATGAGAATAATAAACTCGAATAAAATTTGCTGTAATGAGAATTGATGATAATAATTCGTAATATTTACGAGTATTAATTTCTTGATTTATGACATTGGTGAAAGCGGAAATTCCATTTCGAAATTAATGTACAACTTTCCGCCAATAATGATAATTTGTTTTATATTAAATTATTTGTTTATTACATTTCAGGTTATTATTGCAAAAAAAAAAAACTGGTAATTAATGACAATTATCATTGTTTTTAATTACAAAAAAAAATTATTTTGTAATTTTATAATTCTTATAGCATTCATAAGAAAAATATTATATTATCGTTATAAACAATATAATTAAATGTAAAAAAATAAATTATAAAAAATATTTATTAAATTCTGGTTTTAATAATTAAAAAAATTAAAAAATGATGAAAAAATTAATTTTTGTTTTTCTTGACGTTTTGTTGCAGGAAATATAAAAACAAAAGCTGTTTTGGATGTGGAAACAAAAAGGGGCTACTGGCTGACGGTTTACGCACAGGATCACGGTGTGGTTCCACTGAGTTCAAAACAAGAAGTAAGTCTAAAATTTATATCCAGATTTTATCGTTCCCTCGCATCTTTGAAACAGTTTTTTTTCTTCTCTTCTTTTTGCTACCTTTCTTTCTATTTTACGATTTACCTCCTTCTTTTTTTATCATGTTCTTATTTTTTTTTCGACCACCTTTTCATCCTCAGTTCCGACAACCTTTTATTAACCCCCCTACCCTCCAACCACCCCTTCTTTTCTTTCTACTTCCTCTTTAAGTCTTTTTTTCTTTTGGTCATTTTTCCTCTATTCAATTTCTTTTGTTTTTCTCTTTTACACCTTTCTTTTCCTCATCTCTTTCTCTCTCCTTTCTCTCTCCTTTCTCTCTCTTTTTTCTCTTTTTTTCTCTTTTTTATATCTTAGGAATTTTTCATGTTTTTATATTTTTTTAACACTTTTTCTAAATTCAACCTCATTTTCTCTATTTATGTAGGGTATCTTAGAAATTTTTAAATCTAAAGTTTATTTTTTAAGATGCAATACTTTTTCTCACTTTATTGGAGAGAAATGATTTTAAATTCTCTTTCTTCTTTAAGAATTTTTATACTGTTTGCGATTTAATTATTTTCTTCGTTTATGGTTTTTACTTTTTTTAATAATTGAATATCTGCTGTGAGTGTAAATAATTTTTTTTTTTCATATTCTCATACTCTATTTGAAATCTGAAGTTTAAAAAGAATTCTTACTAGTATTCATAAAGCTGTCTCTTTATTTAATTTAATAACAAAAAATTTTTAATAACATCTTTCTTCTCTTCTTTCTCGTTTCTCAGTATTTACTTCTTTCTTTTTATTTTTACTTTCTAGATAATTATTTTGTGTTTTAATTTGAAAATTTTTTATGTTCATTGACAGATTCGTAATTTTTATTTTCTGTTTTACTTTATAGTAAAATTTTCATTTTTCATTTCCATTTTTACTTAAAGTAAAAAAATTACATTTCAAAGTGACGCGATTTAATGGTAGAATGAATTTTTTTTTTGTGTCCTTCTTTTCCAATAATTTGTGTTAAATTTAAGTTCTTTTTTTGTCTGTGTTAAGGTGTACATTGAAGTCTTGGATGAAAACGACAATATTCCTCTCACTGAACTGCCTGTCTATTATCCTTCAGTACCTGAAAACTCACCAGCTGGCGTGAATGTAGTTCAAATACGAGCATTAGATCGTGATGTTTCGTCTCAGCAATTCACTTTTTCTATCACAAGTGGCAATCCAGAAGGCTATTTTCTCATCAACTCTACGACCGGTAAGTGCCACTTGTCCTAACCACATATCTTATTTTTCCACTTATTTCCCCTTCTCACCTATATCAATATATATGACATTTTATTATTAAGAAATATTTTACTCTCGGATAAATCGAATTTTATTGAGTAATATAATATTTTTATTAATTAATTTCTTACTTCTGTTGTATAATATTATTTATGAGTTACTTTATGTTTCAAATTTCGCGCCAATATTAGCGTAAGCAATACCAGCTCCACCTACAACTTGAATTATTGCCTCCGACTTTGGAAATTGTAAATCTGCCTTTATAATAGAAGGTAACATCCCAAATGCGACACATAGATTTTTTCATTTTTCCCAACTGCCCAACCTTGCTAGACTTTTATCTTTACATTGCTTTACATGAAATAAAACAGAAGGAAAGACATTTCTATTCTTTTCTCTCTCATTCATAAATTTCGAATTACGAATTTTCAGTAATTAATTTTAATTTTGAACAATTTGCAAACAATTTGGAATAAATAAAAATATTTCTCATGGAAAAATTAGTATTACATTCGTCAAGATTGAAAAATTGTTATAAAAAGAAAATTTTAACAAATCGAATAATAAAGTTAAATTGAATTTAAGATTTTTGATGAAATTATTGTGCGGATGAGAAAAGAGAATTGACGTGTCCGGTCCTGTGGGGATCTTATCAAGGAAACTAAAGTCAAAAGGGTTGAATACGGTAAGGGCGGATACTATACCTCCACCATGATAACAAACGCATTTTCCCACAACCTTCGACCAGGTAAATTCTACAGTCGTAATTTCCGCTGCCTACCACAAGAGGGCGTGTCGCCTATCTGAATTCTTGATTTAGAATGACAAGAACGAAATTTCCGCATCTTTTTCGTCTGCTATAATCTTTTCTTTTTTATCATTCACTATAACTTTCTTAGAAAAAAAAAAATTTTTTTTCCAAATTTTATGTTAATATTAGCGTAAAATTTAATTAAGTCTCTGTTATTTTTCCCACTAATTCACTAATAATGTTAGTTTTTCCAAAATTCACATTTCGGGCGTTAATTTTGACTTGAGGTTTAAAGCTAGATGTGAACTCCCCTTTAATTGAGCAGTGGTATTTCGCGCGGAAAAATGTAGCAGACGACGAAAGCACGTTTTCAATATAGTTTGATGAGAGATGTTGATGAGAGAAGACGTCACGTCATTCGGAATAACAAAATTTATGTCAAAGAATTTTTTTCAACAAAGTGAAAAATATTTTAAAAGACGATTCTATTAGAATTAGAATTTCTTTATTTTGTCCCAGGAGAACTATGAGAACAACAATTGATTTACAACAAATACAATATATGTATATAATACAAACAGTAGAGAATTATACAGATCACGAAAAGAAATTTTAAACCAAAAGAATCACAGGTAATAAGGATTATAATGTCACAGAACAAAGTCGCAAGACTTGCAGCTTTAATACAATGAGCATCTTGATATAAAGATTACACCTAATATCTGAATATTTCAGTTCTAAACCTCCTAGAAACTTATGATATTCAATAGAATCTGATTTATCACAAGCATATAACTGTAGAATACAAATTAACGCAAATAAATTCTAATATAAATTATATAAGTACAGAATCAGATAAAAATTAATACAAGAAACTAAACAAAACAATTAAACTCAATCTTAAATAGTATTTCGAAATATAAAAATTATGTGAAATGAAATTTCGCAAACATACAAATTGAATGTGAATTAATTTTAGGTTATGTAGTCATTCAGAAGATTAATAATAATTATGACAAATAGTCATTCGGAATAACAAAATTTATGTCAAAGAATTTTTCAACTCAAACATTGTTTCAAAGCAGGATAATTCTATTATTTGAATATTAGGATAAATAATTATTCGAATAATTAAAAACTAGCAACAATTCGCGCGCTGAAGTGCGCGAGGCTAACTTCTTACTGCTTTTTTTAAATAAAATTAGCAATTTTAAAAATAATAGAATTTGAAAACTTTCTAATTCAAATTTTTGTTGAAAACACTAAAAAAAAAATTCAATTTTGGAGAAATTACAAATAATTGCAGAAATTCAACTATTTAAAAAAAATAAATAAATAAAATTCTTCTTATAAAATTCAACTATGTACAAAATTTGAAAAAAAAATTTGTAAAAATCCCAATTATCTTTATAAGTAACAAAATTCTTCTCCAAAGTTTAATTATTTTCCTAAATGTCAAAAAAATTCTTGTTCTAATATCAATTATTTTCAAAAATAAAATGCATTTTTCTAATTTCACTGATTTTCAATATCTACTATTTCAATAAAATTTCTCAAAAAAAAAATGTTAATAAAATTGTATGCAAACATTTAATTATTTTCATAAATAATAAAAATTTCACAGGAATTCAATTATTATTTTTATAAATAATAAATTTTTTTAAGGAATTCAATTATTTTCATAAAAAAATAATTTAAAATTCTAGAAAATAATAATTAAATTAAAATGATGAAAATAATTTTCATGAAGTTACAGTAACAATATTCTTATAATAATATAAAATAATGATTTTATTACTTGGTCATCTTTAATTATTATAAAAAATGAAGAGATCGATCACTCCGAGTCTTCGACTCAGAGCAATCGATATCTTCATATTTTATAACAAAATAATTTTATAAGTTGTTTAATTTAAAAAAGGTTTGAATTCGAAATTTTTGAATGTCTTAATTCCTTAAGGAAAATCCTGTTCCAAAAATAAGATTAAAAAAAATAGGAATTTCGCAAATATTTTTCTTCTTTCTTTAAAACAAAATAATAATTTTGTTAAAAAAAAATTGTGATTCATAAACAAAAATAATGCAAAATAAATGGCATTATTATTAACTTTTTTTATAATTTTTCTTTTCAAATATTTTCAATTTTAAAAATTAATATATTGAAAATCATCGAATTGTTGCAAAGAATTTAAAAAAAAAAATTTGATGATAATAGAATTCCTTCAAAGAATTTTATTATTTATAGGAAAATAACTGAATTCTCACAAAGAATTTTATTAAAATTTTTTAAAATCCTAATTAAATTTCTTTTGAAGAATTTCTTTGAATTTTTTTTTTAAAACTAATGGAGTTTCTTTAATAATTTTAATTGAAAATTTTGAAAGCATTTAAATTTTATGAAGAAGAATTTTATTAAAAGTGAATTAAAAATAATTGAATTCTTTTGCGGAAAATTTTACTAATATTTATAAAAATTGTTTTGAAGAATTTATTAAAATTTTTGGACATAATTGAAATTTATGGAAATATTTCAAAATACTTGAATTCATCCGAGGAATTCAATTAAAATTGTTTTAAAAATCATTGGATTTTTGTAAAGATTTTACTATTGAAAAAACAAAATTGAATATTGTTTAGAAAGATTTTACTATTTATAAAAAAATAATTAAAATGTTTCGCGAGAATTTTTAAAAATTTATAAGAAATAATTAAATTGTTATGAAAAATTTTATAGAAATATTTTTAAATAATGAAATTTTTTCGAGAAATTCAATTAAAGTTGTTTCGAAAATAATGGAATTTCTTTAAAGAATTTTTATTAAAATTATGTATATATTTAAAATCATTGAATTCATCACAAGAATTTTATTACTTTTTTGAAAATAATTGAATTCTTTCAATTTTTTTGACGAATATATTTAAAAATTGCATTGAAAGTAATTTAATTTTTATATAAAATTTTTAAAAAAATTTTTGAGAATAATTGAATTATTTTTAGAGAATTCTAAATTCTTGTTAAAATTGCATTTTATGGAAATTTTTGAAAATAATTAAATTCTTTCATGTAATTTTATTAAAATTTGATTAAAAATAATTAAATTCGTATATGAAGAATTTTACTGTATTTATAAAAATAATTGAACTTTTTCGAAGGATTTATTAAAATTTTAGAAAATATGAACAGTAATAATTAATTTTGTACTTAATAAGTGAATATTGTTTTAATTTTGATTATGAAATTATTTTAAAAATTTATATTTGAAAATTAAAAATATTTGTAATTTGCATAAGAATAATAAATTGAATATCACGTTCAGCGCGTAAAATTTTCTAGTAATAATATAATATACAATTAATCTAAAGATAACAAAAACAAAAGTATAAATAAAAGACAACTTCAGAGTGTGAGGGACAGAAAAAGTGAATGAATGCAAAAATGAAAGAACATTCAAATTAATATAGTTAATAGTTAATTATGTTCAATGGTATTTCGAAATATGAAAATTATGTCAAATGCTTCGATAATAAGAATTTCGATTTTTTGAAAATTATGAAATTGAAATTTGGGGATTAATCATTTGCCCCTTCTAAGTTTTCCTTTTTTTTTGGTTAATTTTCCCCCACGGAACTTCCTTTGAGATATTTTTCTGTTATTTATTAGCTAGAGATTTGACTTCTATTTTTGTTAATTTTTCAAGATAAAATCGACCTATTTTTTTATTTGTGACGAATAAGGGAAAAGCTTTAGGGGGTTTAATAATAATTCACCTCGACATTTAGTTTATAGTGAAAAGTAGACAATTTTCTTTCAAACTGCAAAATTCTTCGAAATTGTTACACAACCGCAGTGTATCTTTTCTGAACTGTGAAATTCTCCAAAGTCTTAGGATAAGCGTATAACGAACTTATTAATTATAATGTCAGAATTTTGAGAAATCTCAGGATCGATAAACATTTTAGGGGGTAGAGAGAATGTTAGATTTGGAAAGTTTCTGTTTATGAACCCTCGGGGGGGTTATAAATTCCAAATTGAAGAATTTATTATCGGCTGCTATCAACTATAACTTTGAAACACGATATAAAAATGAATATAGATAACTTGATGAATAGACTTGATGGATAATTATTTTAACTTTGTAAACAAATTTTCGCTGAATACTTTCTCTCCTTATTATGGTAAAGAAAATATTTTGCGAAAATTATTACGAATTTTTATTTTCTACTTCAACTGAATAAGTAGCGAGGTATTTTTTTTTTAAATTGAAAGAGGGAAAATACTTTTGTTTTGTGTTTTTGTTGAGATATTTTCTTGTAGCAACTAATGATGTGATTTAGATGATGTATAAGATAAATTTAACGGAGGTTCAGTCACCTTTGAAGAAGGTCGAAATCAAGCAACCAAGGGTGGCGAGTAACGATAAGGAGAAGCATATAGTGTTATTCAGAGGGGCTTATTGCGCACATAGGACCGAATTAGGTTACATAAATCTTGACCCCTTCGCTTAAAGGAACGAGGGGATGGATGTCACGAGAGATGTGTTTATAAATTTCTTCTTTCCACGCACCTCGTTTCATTTCATGAAATATAACCATCTCTGGATAAATTTATTTTTAAACCATTCCCCGAATCTTTTAACCTTTCTTCGAAATTTATCATAAAGAATTACCCCAACTGCGAGAGCTTATTGGTCAAAAAAACATAATTTCGTTTTCCACCTACTTTTCAACCTATCACCTCAACTTTTAAAACCAAATTTCGTAAAATATAGGTGCAGTTGGATAGTAGATAAGTTTCGGCAAAAAGGATTCTTTTTTGCACATTTAATAAAAATTCCCGCAAGGTTATCAAATTTACATTTAGATGAATCAAATATAATCTCTTGAACCATAAAAGATAATCTAACATAATCATATAGCTAGGACAAACTGAATTACATTTGCGGAATTATTATTATCATTATCATCATCATCATCATCATGATCATCGATTTTCGAATACGATGAATCGTAATCGTAAAATGTTGAAAGGGGCAGGAAATCTTGTTAGACACAAAAACATCGTTACGAGTAACAGAAGCCAACGTGAAATAGGTCTTTTAGTGTTAGACGTGATCGAATAACAAAACTTTACTACATTTACGTGCGGATATAAAGCGCCAAAGGGAAACTGAATTTAATATCAAATGGCTTCGTCAAAGTGATAAGCAATCGGCAGGCTTCTTTCTTAGTCATGTTATCGAGAGGCATTTGACCCAAAAAAAAAGAGAAAAAGAAAAAAAAATGAATTTCTCCTGAACAAGGGAAGCCCTATTCTTTTTCTGTGAAAAAAAAAGTGGTTGAAGGATCCTTTGTATTTTGCTACTCTTTACTTCCTCTGACATCCACTTTGACTTCGTATTTCCCTAGTTTTTCTCCAATATCGTTAGGTATTTGATATTTTTTTCCAGTTGGGAAATAGCCTTCTTGTTTTATACTGTACAATGCTTTTTTTTATTGTTTTATGAAAATTTTTTTTAGGGTAATTAGTTTTACTATATAGAATATACTTGTTATTAGGGTAAATTTTTTTTTTGGTGATGTTGATTTATAAAATTTGGTATTATAGTCTGTTTAGTTCTTATCACCGATTCTGTAAAGTACTTTAGGTTTATCTATTGATTGAAGACCCTTTTCGATAATAGGTTCAAATACTTTCACTAATAATTGATTTTTAAATTGATTTTTTTAAAAAAAAAATTTTTGATAAAATTCTAAACAAAAATTCAATTATTTTAATAAATAATAACTCATAGAAGAGTTTTGAATTATTTTTAATACTATTTTAAATTAATTAATAGAAAAATTCAATTATTTTCACTAATAAAGTTTTCCACAAGAATTCAATTATTTTCAAAAATAACAAAATTTTTCACAGAAATTCAATTTTTTAAAAACATTTTAATAAACTTTTTCGAAATAATTCAATTATTTTCATAAATAATAAAATTCTTCTCAGGAATTAAATTATTTTTGAAAATTTAAATAAAATTCTTAGTAACTATTCAATTATTTTCATAAATAATAAAATTCATTGCAGGATTTCAATTACTTTTTTCATACAATTTTTACAAGAATTGCTTAAAAAATGTAATTATTCTTAAAAACATTTAATTTTAATTCCTCGAAAAAATCAATTATTAAAATAAATGTTTTTTTCAATTCTTTGGAAAAATTCAATTATTTACAAAAATTTAAAAATTTTTCACAGAAATTAAAATTATTTTCAAATATTTTAATAAAATTGTTCGAAAGAAGTTAATTATTTTAAATACAATTTTAATTAAATTTTTTTGGAATAATTCAATTATTCTTTTATATTTTAATAAAATTCTTTCCAAGAATTCAATTATTTACATAAATAATTTTTTTGAAAAAAATCAATTATTAAAGATAAATAAAAAATTCTTCCGGAAAATTCAAATATTTTGAGGCATTTTAATAAAATTCTTTGCAAAATTCAATTATTTTCATAAATAACAATATTCATCACAAGAATTCAATTATTTTTAAAAGTAATAAATTTCTTCTTGGAAATTCAATTATTTAACAAAATTCTAATGAAATCTTTCTCAAGAATTCAATTATTTTCATAAATAAATAAAATTTTTCTCAGAAATTCAATTATTTTTAAAAATTTTAATAAAGTTTTTAGCAACTATTCAATTATTTTCATAAATAATTCTTCAAAAGAATTCAATTATTAAAAATAAATAACAAGATTATTCCCGAAAATTCAATTATTTTAAGGCCTTTTAATAAAATTCTTTGCAAAATTCAATTATTTTCATAAATAACAATATTCATCATAAAAATTCAATTATTTTTAAAAAGTAATAAATTTTTTTTTTGAAATTCAATTATTTCATAAAAATTCTAATAAAATCGTTCGCAAGAATTCAATTATTTTCCTAAATAATAAAATTCTTCTCAGGAATTCAATTCTTTTTGAAAATTTTAATTATTCAATTTTTCCTTAAATAATAACATTCATGTCAGGATTTCAATTATTTTCAGTACAATTTTACAGAAATTGCTAAGAAAAAATTTAATTATTCTGCAAAATTTTATTTCGATTCCACGAAAAATTAATTATTAAAAAAAAATTTTTTTTTAAATTCGTTGAAAGTATTCAATTATTTTCAAAAATATTAGAATTTTTCACAGGAATTGAATTATTTTCAAATATTTTAATGAAATTGATCGAAAGATATCAATTATTTTAAATACAATTTTAATTAAAGTTTTTTGAATTATTTAAATAATTCAATTATTCTTTTAGATTTTAATAAAATTCTTCCCATGAATTCAATTATTTAGATAAATAATTCTATTCGAAAGAATTTAATTATTAAAAATAAATAACAAAATTATTAGCGCAAATTCAATTATTTTGAGACATTTTAATCAAATTCTTTCCAAAATTCAATTATTTTCATAAATAACAATATTCATCACAAGAATTCAATTATTTTTAAAAGTAATAAATTTCTTCTTTGAAATTCAATTATTTAAAAAAATTCTAATAAAATAGCGAGAATTTAATTATTTTCATAAATAATAAAATGCTCTTTAGGAATTCAATTATTTTCAAAAAAAATTTAATAAAATCCCACACAGACATTCAATTATTTTCAAAAATTTTAGTAGAATTCTTTGTAAAATTTAATTACTTTTGAAAACTTTTCGCAATTCAATGATTTTAAATATCTACTATTTTCATAAAATTTTCAAACAAAATTCAATTATTTAAAAAATTTTTTGTAAAAATCTTCGTAAGAATTCAATTCTTTTCATGAATAATAAAAATTCTTAGGAATTCAATTATTTAAATTAGAATTCGCATAAAATTAATCGAAATAAATGAATTATTTAAAGTTTTATAAAATTCTTCGCAAGAGTTGAATTATTTTTATAAATATTTAAATTCTTTCACGAAAAATAAAAATTCGTTGCAGGAATTCAATTTATTAACAGGATAAGAAGGAAGTAAATATTTTTGATAAAAATTAGGAAAAAGTCAGGAAAATAAAATATAGAATGAGATTTTTGTCAGTTTTCTTGGGTCTAAAACGAGTTTTTTTGGTCGTTAAATTTAATTTTTCGATAGCCACTTTTTTTACCAATTTTTGTAGTTTCAAAGCTACTTTTTGCTACTTTTTTAAAATTAATCATGGAATGCGAAGTCTGTGAAAGTTGTGAATAGAAATAAAACAAAGTTTCATTTTTTTAAAATTGTAAAAGAACTACTTCTTTTACAATTTTAAAAAAATGAAACTTAACTCAACTTTTAAAAAAAATGAAATGAAATGAAACTTAAAAAAATGAAAAAATATGAAAAATGAAAAAAAAATGAAAAATGAAACTTAACTTAACTTAACTTTTCAGACAGTGTTTATTGAAAAACTGTTGTCTCGATGACGTGACGGAACATTAATGTTTAGAAAACTATCAGTTTTTTGTGTGGCACTAAAGAAATTATTGTTTTTTTCTTTTACAGGTGTCATTACCACCACTGGGAGAAAATTGGATCGTGAAAATCAGGCGGAACATGTACTGGAGGTAAGTTTTAAAATTTTTCACATCATAGGTACTCTATAGGCTTTTATTGAAAGAAACGATCGCAACAATACACTCAACGCTGTTAATAAACTTAATATAGCCGCACTACTGTTTTTGATGATGAAAAAATATTAACTCCTTTAAAGTCTCCGATGAGTATTGGAATTTTATACTCAAGTGTCATACCCATGATAGAGTGTTATATGGCAACGGTTATTATACCGGAAGTCATTTACGGAAGAATGCCTTTAGCCATCGAATTGGAGCGCTCTCGGAGGTCGTTAAAGCTAACCTAAATATCTAAAAGGTCGCGCTGACGGTGCTGTTGATGTCGATAGGACATCCTTCCTTAGAAGCAGTATCTTACCTGCACCTCCTTCTTCTTCTTCTGACTATTCTATATCGACACTTCGTTTCTCGCTTTAGCCCATCCTCTCAATATTGTCAGACTGGAAACGAGGTGGAAAATCGCATCCAACCCCGAGATTGAAAAGTAAAATGAGGCACAGGGTTCCCTTCTTTGTGAATTGAAGAAGCCGGAGAGTGAGAGGGTTCGAGTAAAGAATGGATGAGAGTGAAGATAGGTAGGATGGGGTTTTGGAGTATCGTTCACTATTCTCAAGACTCTTGGGAGTGCATTTCCGTATCGAGACTAACGGAAACGCGTTTAAAAACTCACCTTAAACTTTTTTTTTCACGATAAGAAAAAAAAAGTGTTAGATAGATATTTAAAGTCAGTGAATTTTCAGTATTTCCGTTTCACTTCTTCTTCTTCTTCTTCTTCTTCTTCTCAATCACCCAAGTGTTACACATTGAAAAAAAAACTCGAATCTTATAAATTATATTTTCTTCTATAATGAAATCTCTCAATACACTTAGTAAATATGATTTAATAAACCTTTAACCAAACTCTTTCTTCGAAGAACTTGGGAGTTAATTTTTGTTCGAGACAAAAAAAAATCCCCCGCATCAACTGAAGAAACGATCACTCTTTATGCTTGGATGTGCACTTTCAAGTTCCATGTTACAAAAATCATGGAAGCGTGTATGTATATACAGTCAAAAGTAAATGGAAACTTGGAAAAATTGTCTGAAGGATTCTTCTGTTTCATCGGATCGCATTGTATCAATCAAATATCTGTTCAATGGTCTCCCATATAGTACTCACTTTCTTTACGAGCCTGTAGGAAAAATTTTCGAATCACTAAATCCAAAAATAGAAAACCTCTACTGTAATATTGAGAACCGCTTTTTGATTCTCCAATGATGTATGATATGAGGTTTTTAAATCTTTTTGTAAAAAGAAAGTTCTCGTATCGTAAATATAAAAACTCAAAGGCGCAAAAATAATATAAATGGAAAATAGAGAATATTTTTCGAATATTATAATTTTTGAATGAAAAGGAAAATTTATAATATAAGAGTTATTCTTTTGGAAAGAACAACAATTTTAAGGAGATTTTGTGCAAAAATAATTCCATTAAATTTATAAGAAATATAATTTCCACTTTTGCGAAAAGTCATTTTTACGAATCGTTATTTTGTTCCAAAATGTCATTTTCTCGAATTGTCATGTTTACGAATTGTCACTTCTGTGAATCAACATTTTTACGAATTGTCACTTTTCCGAAAAGTCATTTTTTTGAATTGTCATTTTTGCGAATCGACATTATTACGAATTTACGAAAATAAAAAAAAAAAAATTTATTTATTTTTTATTTTTTATTTTTTTTTACGAAAAGTCATTTTTACGAATTCAGGGTTGCCACAGGTGAGGGAAATCACATAAAAATTTCAATTATTTTCAAAAATTTTTAATAAAATTCTTTGCAAAATTTCAATTATTGTCAAAAGATGTTTACCAATTCAATAATTTTCAATATCTGCTAGTTTAAGAAAATTTTTTCAAAAGAATTCAATTATTTAAAAAAAAAATGTTGTGATAAAATTCTAAGCAAACATTATAAATTATTTTCATAAATAATAAGTATTTCACAGGAATTCAACTATTTACAAATTTCTTTATAAATTTCTTCGCAATAATTCAATTGTTTTCATAAATAATAAAATTTTTTTAAAAGAATTCAATTATTTTCATTGAATTTAAATAAAACTCATCATAGAATTTCAATTATTTTTTAAACATTTCTAATTGAATTCCTCGAAAAATAATAATTCTTCTTGAAAATTTTATTAAAATTCCTCAAAAAAAATTCAATTTTGATGATAAAAAATTCTTTATGATAATTCAATTTCGAGAAATATTCATTTATTCAATAAATTATTTATTTTTGTTGCTAAATAATTGAATTCTCGTAGAATTTTCCAATAAAAAATTAAAAATTGATTTAAAATTGAATTTTAGATAAAAATTTTAGATAATAAAAACATTTTATGGGATTTAGCTTCATTATTTTTGTGCTATTGGAAAATACTTTTCTTATTTAATAGTCTCGACTCTTTGGTAAAAAATCTAAAATTATCAAAAATTCGAAAAAATTCAAAAAACCGAATTTCTTAAAATTCAACATTTTTTCCTCTCTTTTATGGGATTTAGCTTCATTATTTTTGTGCTCTTGGAAAATACTTTACTTATAAAGTAGCCTCGATTCTTTGGTAAAAAATCTAAAATTATCTAAAATTATCAAAATTTCAAAAATCCGAATTTCTTAAAATTCAACATTTTTTCCTCTCTTTTATGGGATTTAGCTTCATTATTTTTGTGCTTTTGGAAAATACTTTACTTATTAAATTGTCTCGACTCTTTGGTAAAAAATCTAAAATTATCAAAAATTCGAAAAAATTCAAAAAACCGAATTTCTTAAAATTCAACATTTTTTCCTCTCTTTTATGGGATTTAGCTTCATTATTTTTGTGCTCTTGGAAAATACTTTACTTATTAAATAGTCTCGACTCTTTAGTAAAAAATCTAAAATTATCTAAAATTATCAAAATTTCAAAAATCCGAATTTCTTAAAATTCAACATTTTTTCCTCTCTTTTATGGAATTTAGCTTCATTATTTTTGTGCTCTTGGAAAATACTTTACTTATTTAATTGTCTCGACTCCTTGGTAAAAAATCCAAAATTATCGAAAATTATCAAAAATTAAAAAAAACCGAATTTCTTAAAATTCAACATTTTCTTTCCTCTTTTATGGGATTTAGCTTCATTATTTTTGTGCTCTTGGAAAATACTTTACTTATTTAATAGTCTCGACTCCTTGGTAAAAAATCCAAAATTATCGAAAATTATCAAAAATTCAAAAAAAACCGAATTTCTTAAAATTCAACATTTTCTTTCGTCTTTTATGGGATTTAGCTTCATTATTTTGTGCTCTTGGAAAATACTTTACTTATTAAATAGTCTCGACTCTTTGGTAAAAAATCTAAAATTCGAAAAAATTCAAAAAACCGAATTTCTTAAAATTCAACATTTTTTCCTCTCTTTTATGGGATTTAGCTTCATTATTTTTGTGCTCTTGGAAAATACTTTACTTATAAAGTAGCCTCGACTCTTTGGTAAAAAATCTAAAATTATCAAAAATTCGAAAAAATTCAAAAAACCGAATTTCTTAAAATTCAACATTTTTTCCTCTCTTTTATGGGATTTAGCTTTATTATTTTTGTGCTCTTGGAAAATACTTTACTTATTAAATAGTCTCGACTCTTTGGTAAAAAATATAAAATTATCAAAAATTCGAAAAAATTCAAAAATTCGAATTTCTTAAAATTCAACATTTTTTCCTCTCTTTTATGGGATTTAGCTTCATTATTTTTGTGCTCTTGAAAAATACTTTACTTATTTAATAGTCTCGACTTTTTGGTAAAAAATCCAAAATTATCGAAAATTATCAAAAATTCAAAAAACCGAATTTCTTAAAATTCAACATTTTTTCCTCTCTTTTATGGGATTTAGCTTCATTATTTTTGTGCTCTTGGAAAATACTTTACTTATTAAATAGTCTCGACTCTTTAGTAAAAAATCTAAAATTATCTAAAATTATCAAAATTTCAAAAATCCGAATTTCTTAAAATTCAACATTTTTTGCTCTCTTTTATGGAATTTAGCTTCATTATTTTTGTGCTCTTGGAAAATACTTTACTTATTTAATTGTCTCGACTCCTTGGTAAAAAATCCAAAATTATCGAAAATTATCAAAAATTAAAAAAAACCGAATTTCTTAAAATTCAACATTTTCTTTCCTCTTTTATGGGATTTAGCTTCATTATTTTTGTGCTCTTGGAAAATACTTTACTTATTTAATAGTCTCGACTCCTTGGTAAAAAATCCAAAATTATCGAAAATTATCAAAAATTCAAAAAAACCGAATTTCTTAAAATTCAACATTTTCTTTCCTCTTTTATGGGATTTAGCTTCATTATTTTTGTGCTCTTGGAAAATACTTTACTTATTAAATAGTCTCGACTCTTTGGTAAAAAATCTAAAATTCGAAAAAATTCAAAAAACCGAATTTCTTAAAATTCAACATTTTTTCCTCTCTTTTATGGGATTTAGCTTCATTATTTTTGTGCTCTTGGAAAATACTTTACTTATAAAGTAGCCTCGACTCTTTGGTAAAAAATCTAAAATTATCAAAAATTCGAAAAAATTCAAAAAACCGAATTTCTTAAAATTCAACATTTTTTCCTCTCTTTTATGGGATTTAGCTTTATTATTTTTGTGCTCTTGGAAAATACTTTACTTATTAAATAGTCTCGACTCTTTGGTAAAAAATATAAAATTATCAAAAATTCGAAAAAATTCAAAAATTCGAATTTCTTAAAATTCAACATTTTTTCCTCTCTTTTATGGGATTTAGCTTCATTATTTTTGTGCTCTTGAAAAATACTTTACTTATTTAATAGTCTCGACTTTTTGGTAAAAAATCCAAAATTATCGAAAATTATCAAAAATTCAAAAAACCGAATTTCTTAAAATTCAACATTTTTTCCTCTCTTTTATGGGATTTAGCTTTATTATTATTTGAATTTCTATTCA